CCGCCACCCGGCGTGTAAATGGATTATAACTCTTTGAACGTACAATAGTGGTTGTGAAGCAGAAAGTCAGTTTATTTAGCACAATCGGTCAATTGCAGCTTGCCGTTGGCTGGAAACTGTACGTTTATGTCACTGGAATGCACTAATCACACAAAAAATATTATTACCGCCAGCCGGCGTGTAAATGGATTTAACTCTTTGAACGTACAATAGTGGGTTGTGAAGCAGAAAGTCAGTTTATTTAGCACAATCGGTCAATTGCAGCTTGCCGTTGGCTGGAAACTGTACGTTTATGTCACTGGAATGCACTAACTAATCACCCAAAAAATATTACCGCCACCCGGCGTGTAAATGGATTAACTCTTTGAACGTACAATAGTGGTTGTGAAGCAGAAAGTCAGTTTATTTAGCACAATCGGTCAATTGCAGCTTGCCGTTGCTGGAAAACTGTACGTTTATGTCACTGGAATGCACTAATCACCCAAAAAATATTATTTACCGCCAGCCGGCGTGTAAATGGATTTAACTCTTTGAACGTACAATAGTGGTTGTGAAGCAGAAAGTCAGTTTATTTAGCACAATCGGTCAATTGCAGCTTGCCGTTGGCTGGAAACTGTACGTTTATGTCACTGGAATGCACTAATCACCAAAAAAATATTACCGCCACCCGGCGTGTAAATGGATCTAACTCTTTGAACGTACAATAGTGGTTGTGAAGCAGAAAGTCAGTTTATTTAGCACAATCGGTCAATTGCAGCTTGCCGTTGGCTGGAAACTGTACGTTTATGTCACTGGAATGCACTAATCACCCCAAAAAATATTACCGCCACCCGGCGGCGTAAATGGATTTAACTCTCTTGAACGTACAATAGTGGTTGTGAAGCAGAGAAAGTCAGTTTATTTAGCACAATCGGTCAATTGCAGCTTGCCGTTGGCTGGAAACTGTACGTTTATGTCACTGGAATGCACTAATCACCCAAAAAATATTACCGCCACCCGGCGTGTAAATGGATTTAACTCTTTGAACGTACAATAGTGGTTGTGAAGCAGAAAGTCAGTTTATTGTACACACAATCGGTCAATTGCAGCTTGCCGTTGGCTGGAAACTGTACGTTTATGTCACTGGAATGCACTAATCACCCAAAAAAATATACCGCCAGCCGGCGTGTAAATGGATTTAACTCTTTGAACGTACAATAGTGGTTGTGAAGCAGAAAGTCAGTTTATTTAGCACAATCGGTCAATTGCAGCTTGCCGTTGGCTGGAAACTGTACGTTTATGTCACTGGAATGCACTAATCACCCAAAAAATATTACCGCCACCCGGCGTGTAAATGGATCTAACTCTTTGAACGTACAATAGTGGTTGTGAAGCAGAAAGTCAGTTTATTTAGCACAATCGGTCAATTGCAGCTTGCCGTTGGCTGGAAACTGTACGTTTATGTCACTGGAATGCACTAATCACCCAAAAAATATTACCGCCAGCCACCCCGGCGTGTAAATGGATTTAACTCTCTTTGAACGTACAATAGTGGTTGTGAAGCAGAAAGTCAGTTTATTTAGCACAATCGGTCAATTGCAGCTTGCCGTTGGCTGGAAACTGTACGTTTATGTCACTGGAAATGCACTAATCACCCAAAAAAATATTACCGCCACCCGGCGTGTAAATGGATCTAACTCTTTTGAACGTACAATAGTGGTTGTGAAGCAGAAAGTCAGTTTATTGTACACAATCGGTCAATTGCAGCTTGCCGTTGGCTGGAAACTGTACGTTTATGTCACTGGAATGCACTAATCACACCCAAAAAATATTACCGCCAGCCGGCGTGTAAATGGATTTAACTCTTTGAACGTACAATAGTGGTTGTGAAGCAGAAAGTCAGTTTATTTAGCACAATCGGTCAATTGCAGCTTGCCGTTGGCTGGAAACTGTACGTTTATGTCACTGGAATGCACTAATCACCCAAAAAAATATTACCGCCAACCCGGCGTGTAAATGGATCTAACTCTTTGAACGTACAATAGTGGTTGTGAAGCAGAAAGTCAGTTTATTTAGCACAATCGGTCAATTGCAGCTTGCCGTTGGCTGGAAACTGTACGTTTCTGTCACTGGAATGCACTAATCACCCAAAAAATATTACCGCCACCCGGCGTGTATAATGGATTTAACTCTTTGAACGTACAATACACCCGGCGTGTATATGGATTTAACTCTTTGAACGTACAAATAGTGGTTGTGAAGCAGAAAGTCAGTTTATTTAGGCACAATCAGTCAATTGCAGCTTGCCGTTGGCTGGAAACTGTACGTTTATTGTCACTGGAATGCACTAATCACCCAAAAAAAAAAAAATATTACCGCCACCCGGCGTGTAAATGGATCTAACTCTTTGAACGTACAATAGTGGTTTGTGAAGCAGAAAGTCAGTTTATTGTACACAATCGGTCAATTGCAGCTTGCCGTTGGCTGGAAACTGTACGTTTATGTCACTGGAATGCACTAATCACCCAAAAAATATTACCGCCACCCGGCGTGTAAATGGATTAACTCTTTGAACGTACAATAGTGGTTGTGAAGCAGAAAGTCAGTTTATTTAGCACAATCGGTCAATTGCAGCTTGCCGTTGGCTGGAAACTGTACGTTTATGTCACTGGATGCACTAATCACCCAAAAAATATTACCGCCACCCGGCGTGTAAATGGATCTAACTCTTTGAACGTACAATAGTGGTTGTGAAGCAGAAAGTCCAGTTTATTTTGCAAACAATCCGCCCAAAAATATATTACCAACCCCCTAACTCTCTCCTCAGCACCAACACAACCGCAAACAGTGTGCACGACAGCCACCAAAAAAAAAAAGGGTGTATGTCACTTTAATTTTTCGATTCTTTGATAGCTGTGGCCCTAAGTAAACGATTCTGTGTCCTTGAGTAACGATTCTGTGTCCCTGAGTAACGATTCTGTGTCCCTGAGTAACGATTCTGTGTCCCTGAGTAACGATTCTGTGGCCCTAAAGTCTCTGTGTGGCCCTAACTCTGTCCCTTAATACACACAGGTCTGTCTCTCTTGAATGACCGGAGGCTAATGGAGAATTCTAAGATGTCCGCGATTTATAGCTCCACCATTACACAGTGCTGGCTGGCTGCTGATTGGCTAATGCGATCACATGTCATGAATGCATTATGGGTCAGCGCGCCTTGTCTGCGCACCTTCCCAGAGATCCCCGCCCCATCTTCTCTGGTCCATTTTCTCCGTCGCCACACATGTCGCCGCCATTTTTGGGAAAATTCGATTCGTGCATCCGAAGTTTGCTAATCTTCGGATTCGTCGCAAATAGAATTTTTCCAAATCTTCGGAACGAATTCCACTTCGTCATGTTTGATTCGCTCATCTCTAGTAATCACCTATCCTGTGTTTGGGCTGCATTGACTGCTGTTCAAAAATCAGGTCTCTCTGCCAATCCAAAAAAATGTGCCATTGATAAAGAGGAAGTCAGTAAGATAGTATTTATTAGGGCAAAGTACCTAGCCTATACTATTGCTATGGAGTCATAAAACCTTGGTTAAACAAAACAAAAGCCATCCAAGAGTGGTCATGTCTCACAAGCAAAAAATAGGTCAGAGCTTACCTTGGTATAACTGGCTACTATAGAATATCCATCCCAAACTATGTAGCTCTTGCTGCCCTATTGACTGGCCTTATCAAAGGAAAAATTCTGTTATGGTAAAAAAAAGTCTCCAGAAGCAGAAACATTTCCCCAGGTTCTGAATAGGGCTTTTTGTGCATGGCCAATTCTGTGGAGCCCAAAAATTTCTCAAAAGACTTTGCAGTTCAGACTGATGCATTTGATGTTAATCTGAAGAGGGGGGTGGTTGTCACAGGTACAGGATATGAAGGAGCACCCCATAGTGTACCTGTGCAGAATGAACATGAAAATAATTAAATAGTGTTTGAGATGGAGTGCTTAGCTACACTATATTGCCAAAAGTATTGGAACACCTGCCTTTCCACGCACATGAACTTTAATGGCATCTCAGTCTTAGTCCATAGGCTTGAATACTGAGTTGGCCCGCCCTCTGCAGCTATAAAAGCTTAAACTCTTCTGGGAAGGCTGTCCATAAGGTTTAGGAGTGTGTCTACGGAATGTTTGACCATTCTTCCAGAAGCGCATTTGTGAGGTCAGGTACTGATGTGGGACGAGAAGGCCTGGCTCGCAGTCTCTGCTCAACTTCATCCCAAAGGTGTTATGTTGGGTTGAGGTCAGGACTCTGTACAGGTCAGTCAAGTTCCACCACTCCAAACTTGCTCATCCATGTCTTTATGGACCTCGCTTTGTGCACTGGTGCGCAGTCATGTTGGAACAGGAAGGGGCCATCCCCAAACTGTTCCCACAAAGTTGGGAGCATGAATTTGTCCAAATGTCTTGGTATGCTGATGCCTTAAGAGTTCCCTTCACTGGAAGTAAGGGGCCAAGCCCAACCCCTGAAAAGAAGCCCCACACCATAATTCCCCTCCACAAAAATTTTACACTTGGTATAACGCAGTCAGGCAAGTACTGTTCTCTTGGCAACCGCCAAACCCAGACACGTCCATCAGATTGCCAGACAGAGAAGCATGATTCATCACTCCAGAGAACATGTCTCCACTGCTCTAGAGTTCAATGGTGCAGTCCTTTACGCCACGCCATAATCCCCCTTCTACAAAACTTTACACTTGGCATGATGCTGTCAGGCACTCCAGAGAACACGTCTCCACTGCTCTAGAATCCAGTGGCAGTATGCTTTACACCACTGCATCTGACACTTTGCATTGCACTTGGTGATATAAGGCTTGGATGCAGCTGCTCGGCCATGGAAATCCATTCCATGAAGCTCCCTACTCCCTATGTGGAGCACTAGAGTTTGTCTAGAGGTTGCTAGGAGTACCTTAAGCTGTGACAGATTGATCTTTCATCTACATTGACCAAGAATGTAAGACACTAGCATTGCACTTGGTGATGTAAGACTTGGATGCAGCTGCTTGGCCATGGAAACCCATTCCTTGAAGCTCTCTAAGCACTGTTGTTGTGTTTGTCCAAAGGTCACATGAAGTTTGGAGGTCTTTAGCTATTGACTCTGCAGACAGTTGGCGACTTCTGCGCACTGTGCGCTTCAGCATGTGCTGACCCCGCTCTGTCATTTTACATGGCCTATCACTTCGTGGCTGAGTTGCTGTTTGTTCCCAGTTGCTTCCACTTTGTTATAATACCACTAACAGTTGGCCGTGGAATATTTAGCAGCAAGGAAATTTCACGGATAGACTTTTTGCATAGGTGGCAACCTACCACGGTACAATGCTTGAATTCACTGAGCTCCTGAGAGGGACCCATTCTATCAGAAATGTTTGTAGAAGCAGTCTGCATGCCTAGGTGCTTGATTTTATACACCTGTGGCCATGTAGGTGATTGGAACACCTGAATCCAATGATTTGGAGGGGTGTCCCAATATTTTTGGAAATATAGTATATATAATGGGCATTGGATACAGTAAGAAATTATTTATTAGGGCACCACTTTGACCTGGTGAATTTCCCTTAAATGGATGACCAATGGGAACGGGATGTATACACGGCTGAACCATTGGTTTCTTACCCTACAAGACTGAAGTTTTACAGTAAATATTGACTAGTTGCAAAGATGGAAAATGTATATTCCCTGTCCCAAGTACCCTTCTGTTTAGCTTCAGGCATTCCAACCCTGGAGTTGAAACAGGGAAGGAAGGTATGTAGCAGAGTGTCTAGCATAGAGCCTGGAGAGTTAGAGGGGAAATGTTACTTAACAATGTAAACCATGCCACTAAATACGTACTTGCAGAGGTTCTTTTCACTGGGAACGTGGGGGGGGGGGGGACGCAGTTCTGTTACTTCCAACACTGGATGTATATAATGGCAAGGGGTGCTGGAGGGTCTATTTATGCTGGCTGCTGGGGGATTTATTGTTGCTGGGGAGAGACCTTTGTTGATAGGGTGGAGCTATTGTTTCTGGGATGGGGGGTATTTTGTTGCAGGGGGTCCATCTTTGCTTGGGGATCTATTGTTGCTGGGGGCAGTTTATTGTGTGGGTCTATCGTAGCTGGGGTGGTCTATTGTTGCTGGCTGCAGGGGATCTAATTTACTGCCTTGTTATCATTAGCACATTCCACACACATTTCTTAGCACCTCAAAATAATACTTGGTTGTGTATTCTCTAAAAGGTACTGGGAGGTGGGTAAGGTGAAGAACCAAAGGACAGGTGGGTAGGGGGTGGGAACAAGAGGTGACTCGGAAAGGGAGTTCCTGCACCTATTCTCTTTTGTGTACTTGGCAAAACTGGTCAATCACAATATTAGTGTGAATGACCAATGGATTGCTAAATAATTGTTTTATAATTCAGACAGGTATGCCGATCCAAATATTGCAAGGGGTAAGGATTTGTTCCTCAGTCCTTAATAACCCAAATTCATTTGGATGGACATGATGTCCTACAAGGCTTTTAACCACTTGCCGTCCGCCTGCTGTTTATAAACGGCAGGACGGTGGCACTCCAGGGGCGGGTTGCCGTTCATAAACGGCACCCGCCATTTCTAGCTGTGTGCACTCCCTTGGAGCGTGCAGCACCGTGATCCGGTGCCCGCTGTATCCTCCGGACACAGTGAAACACCGATCGTCAGACGGGACCAATGTACGAGGTCCTGATCATGTGATCACTGATAGGCCAATCAGTGATCACATGCAAAGTAGTAAGCAAGATGTCACTTGCGACATCATTGCTTACTACGTGTGAAATCTGTGAATGATCACAGAGGTCACATGGTGCAAGGCTATTCACAACAGCCTTGTACCATGTGACAAGCTGTGACCAATCACAGCTCACTCAGTATTTCTCAATGGCTGCAAGAATGCAGACAGAGAGAAAGAGAAATGATTGCTTTTACATCCTATATGGATGTAAAAGCAATCACTGTAAAAAAAAACAAAAAAAAAAAAACGTCATTACCCCCCATAAGTTGTACGGTGTCACCATGGTAACACTGTACTGCTAGGGTGACAGTATGTAAAAAAAAAAAAAACATAAATAATAATATAAAAAATAAAATAAAAATGTAAAAAGTAAAAAAAAGTTTAAAAATTATAATTTTTGGTTATAAACTAATTTGGCTTATTTTTTTTTACTAAAAAGATAACGGAATACATTTCGGCCAAGATTTATGATGAAAGATTATTTATTTGCAAAATTTTATAAGAAAAACGCTTTTTTTTTTTCAAAATTTTTGGACGTTTTCATTTACATAGCAAAAAAAATTAAAATTCCAGCGGTGAATAAATACCACCAAAATAAAGCTTTATCTGTCTCAAAAAAATGGTAAAAAATTCATATGGGTACAGTGTTGCATGACCGCGCAATTGTCATTCAAAGTGTGATAGCGCTAAAAGCTGAACAGCCCTGGACAGGAAGGGGGTAAAAGTGTCCGGACAGGAAGTGGTTAAAGAGTAATGGCAAAATAATACATGCACATTTTCCCATGTTTTAGCCCTTTACATTTGTTGCAAGTACAGAAAATAAATCCTTCTGATATATTAGAAATCCAACGTTTGTTGCTAATTTCCTGTTGTTTGCTAACCGTTCTGCCTCAGCTGCACTAAAATCCCAAGCAGTATTTCCAGCCCTGCTAGAGTTCTTTCCTTCTTGACTACAAAACACCAACTATCCCCAATCTTATGTGTCCCTCACCACGTACATACACTCATTTATTTCCTAGAAAAGTCAGTACTACTGCCTTGATTCGCAAGAGCCTGCCCAGACACTGTTGGGTGGATTTTCTAAAACTGGAGAGTGCAAAATCTGGTGTAGATGTGCAAGGTAACCGATCAGCTTCTAACTTCAACTTGTTTATTTAAACTTTAACTAAAAAAAAAAACTGGAAGCTGATTGGTTTCTATGCAGAGCTGCACCAGATTTTGCACTCTCCGGTTTTAGTATATCAACTACTATGTATAGAGAAAGGGCTCTTGAGAAATGTAGCTCTGGAGCAAGTGCCTACGTCAACAGAAAATGACATGGGCACCCTGCTGATCCCTCATCTCAGCAGCAAGAATATTACAAGCCTGGTGATGATATCACCGGGACTGATAAAAGCAGCTTCTCTCTAAAAGAACAAGGTAAAAATAAAAGTGTGAATGCTAGAGCATGTTCTGTTGGAGTAGAGGGAGGTTTGGGAGTACATTCAGGTCATATCAATACAGCCTCTTTAACAATTATAATTTATACACATACATGAAATGCAGAAAATTAGAATACTGCTCCAATAAGCCTACAGTCTAACCAAGAGAGAAGATTTGACATCCATAGCTGACATTACTATTATTAGCAGCAGTAATTATAATATATTGTGTTGCTGTGGTTCTTAGTGCTATTAAATTATTTAGATTTTTTGAGTTATTAATAATAGGATAAAGTATAGAGCATGAAACTTGCTACCAGGGGCGGACTGACCATTTGGAAACTCGGCACTGCCCGAGGGCCCGGGGTCAGCAGGGGGCCCCATGAGATGCCCCTGGTACCTTTTTCATAGGCTTTTTTGAGTTTGGGCAAGGACACAGGGGCCCCATGATTCCCTATTGCCCGGGGGGCCCCATGAGTTGTCAGTCCGCCCCTGCTTGCTACTATGTTTTTGTAATGTGTTACAGTATAAAGTTATTGCTGTCCAACAATACACTATAACTTAAAATACCAATTCTAATTAACCATCACTTTAAAAGTTGTAATCAAAGAAAATACGCATACGCACTGATAAGTGTGGTGATGGTATATGTGACACTGAGTGGCCAGCGTTGGGTGATATAAAATAAAATAGTGACTGATAGTTAACACATATCAAATGACACAATTGCGATAAACAATAGTTATAAAAAAGTCCAGAAAATAAATCTGTAAACAGGTGACATCCAGTGCTGGTGAATCCGTGAAAAAGTATTCCTTTATATGCACTCACCAGAAGCACATATAAAATGCGCATGAACAGCTGGTTTCTTCCCCAGGTAAGTCAGGCAGCACACCCATCAGTCATAGAATCATGAAGGCCAGGAGAATACAAAGAAATAGTATAAAATAACTCACTAAGATGGCCGCCAGACCTTCGTGCGGCGGCCCCGGCGGCGTGACGTCAATGCGCAGGCTGCTTTCTCTGACGCATTTCGTGCACACGCACGTTTTCAAAGGGATACGCGTCACTGTGTCTGCTTTTTAATATTGCTGCTATTCGTTCTATTGCTGCTTCAATTCACCTTATCATCATTTATTATTTATTTATGTATATGCACTTGTTTTAGAAGTATTTCATTTGATTCATTCATTACTTTAGTGCTGCAGGCTTTTATATTTCATTCACATGTACCCTGTAACCCTAATGGCAATATTATTTTTATTTAGCTTAAAAAATAACTTCATTAACTTCTCTTACTTGGCACTTAATTTTATTTAGGGTGACAACGCTTACCTACTGCTTTGTAAGCAAGAGTGGTGTTGTCACCCTTTCATGTGTGCTTCTGATGTGCAGCTTTAGGCTGGCACGCATATATATCCCGTGCCTGCATGCACACCAATAGGAAGGGGAAGAAGGAGTTCAATTGCAGAGCAGTGCATGACATCACCAGAAGTGACACCTTCATGCTCCAGAAGGCGAATCTAGCAATGACCATGAGCAATTTCTCCTCAAAAGGTGTTTTTTAATGCAAGAAAAAGCTACCAATTTTAATATCATATAGTGCATTATCTGCATATGAACGCTCATCTGCTGATTGTTAGGAAGATATAAAGTAACATATTAAAAAAAAAATTTATACAATTTTTAATGTTAATTTAGGATTGCAATGTTAATAAAAAATAACATTTTTTTTGTAGGAAATAATATTTAAAGTAAAATTAAAATAAATCAAGGATTCACTTACTGTTGATATTTAGATTGGTCATAGCAATAGCTACAATGTGAATTGTCCATCCACACAGCAAGAAGAGGACCCGCAAAGGCAAAGGGCGCCACCCAGAGGCTGTCATTTCAACGCTTGTCAAGTCAATTGCAGTGGGTTAAAGATCACAGAGAGCAGAAGTGATATCTTCTGAGGAGACTTCAGAGAGTGCAAGAGAAAAGGGTAATCCATTTACTTTCAGAGCAGTTTTCCACTCAGAGATCATACACACTGCAGATCACAGAGAGACACACGCAAGCATGAAATTCAATTTTAAGAATTCCTTCCCCGAGCCTGTATGCAATATCCCAACAAGAAACACTTATAATGTATCAAAACCTTACCAGAAATTAAACTGCATTTATTGGTTTACTAAACATAAGTCATTTTGTAAGATAAAAAAGTCAGTTGGAGTTTTTTTTTTTTTAAATCCACATTTGTAGCAAACTAAAATCAGAAAAAAAATATTTTAGTTTTGATTTATTTTTGCCACTTTCTGCATCGAAATGCAGCATATGTTAGTATTCCTGGTAAATATAAGAATGTAAAGTCATTGGAATCATTATTGGGAATACTTGGGGTGTATGTTCTGCACGTAAGGGTGTGTCATCCATTTGGATGTTGTGTTCAAGTAAAGTATTGTTTAAAAAATGATGTGTCTCACCCTTGTTGTCCCTGCGTTTCACATTAACCCTTTTCTGACCGAAGGCATTTTTGTCTTTGTTTTCAAAACTGTCTTGTCAAATGATTGTAAAAAAATCTGCTTATTTTAGTTGATTTTATTACAAATGAATGGGATAAGGGCAATCCCTATAGCCACCAGTGACATATTAAGACTTACAGTAGAGAAGTGCCTATTGTTAACCAATATACTATTGACTTGTTAATCATCACAATGGGGTTGTCTGCTCTAGTGATAACACTCCCATAGTTTGTAGCCAGCCTTGGGCAACATTTGTACTTCTGCAATTTTCGTGGCTTTTTAGGTTTTATGTGTGTTAGCATTCACCCCTACATTTTCCTGGAAACTACACCAAAAATGTGGCTAACGGAATTTTTTTTAATGCATTATGCCAAATGCAGAGGTGTGAGTACAACCTTACAGCAGACTCAGGAATCAGATATGTAACATAATATCATTGAATTGATTTGTGAAAACTAGAATTTGTTGCCCATAGCAAACAATTAGATTGCGTGTTTCAATTGACAGACAAATCCTCATTGATCCCTATTGGCAACGGCTCTTATATATTAGAGGTCCATCTTTCTTGGCTCTAGCATGTGTTTAGCCTGTGGCTCTCTGCTCTATGACAAAATAGGTCATAAGAACACAAAGGTTTAAGAAGTACTTGAAGAATACTATTTAAGCGGAAACTAAGACAAGGGGGTTGATTTACCAAAGGCAAATAGGCTGATCACTTTGCAAGGGAATGTTCCCTAGATTTTAGTGAATGAGGTGAAGTTCTGCTGACTTCCATCATCCAATCATGTGCAAACAAAAATGCTGTTTTTTTTTTATTTCCCTTGCACTTAATTGGGTATTCTTTGTAAAGTGAAATTTTAGCTCATTCACAAAGTTCCAGGGCATATTCCTTTCCAAAGTACAATTTCCTTGCAAAGAATATTTGCTTTTGGTAAATCAACCTCATGATGCCTTGATTTTTCACCTCTTTATTATAACCTGTTTCTCTCTTGTCCACTCTTTAAGCTAATTTAATTTCTAATGTTCTAAAGGCTAAGTTCACCTTTTGCAGAAAATATTAGATAAAATCTGTATAGCTTTGTAAAATGAGCATTAGTTGTATTGCTTTACCTGTAGGACTTTTGGGTCCCCTCAGAAGCCTGGCTAAAAAAACAGCTAGTTAACAATCTTCATGTCCCAACTTTTTGCTAGGACATGGAACCATTGGATGGACAACATTGCAGGACCAAGAACTGATAGTTTCCATGTCTTAGCAACAAGGCAGCATTTGGGGGTTCCTAACTAAGAGTCTTGGGGGCACTAGGCTTCTTCTAAAGAAACATGGTACCTCTTCTAACATTTGTCTCAGACTGGAAGCAGTGAATTTATGGGCTCTAGCAGATACATGAAGGTCATTAATGTGGTCAAGAACATTCTCCTTGAACTTTATTTACTAAAAGAAAACAATTTCTCCTAGAGATTAGATTCCATGATCTGGAAAGGCTTCTGTGATGCATGTACAGTTTACAGTTAATATCTAGACTTTCAAACAGTATGAATGTCATTGTAAACCCATATTTGTTTAAAATAACATACATGTTATATTTACCTGCTCTGTGCAATGTTTTAGCACAGAGCAGCCCAGATTCTCCTCTTCTGGGGTCACCCACTGAGTCCCCACAATAGCAAGCTGCTTACTGTGGGGTTACTCATGTGGGTTCGGAGCCAGCTTTGTGTGTCCATAGACACACAGAGTGCGACTGAGCCCTGCCCCCTGCTCCCACCTCACTGGCTGTGATTGACAGCAGCTGCAGCCAATGGGGGTTATTTACTAAAATTGAATGGTGCAAAATCTGGTGCAACTCTGCATGGAAACCAATCAGCTTCCAGGATTTATTCTCAAAGCTTAACTGAACAAGCTGAAGTTCAAAGCTGATTGGCTACCATGCACTGCTGCAACCGTTTTAGTAAATCTCCCCCAGTGACTGTCATTGTTACATCTGAGCCTATGAGGAGGGAGAAAGTGGAGAGAGCCTCTGCTCTTGTGCACAGGGCTGGATCAAGATCGGACTCAGGTAAGTACTGGGAGGAGGGGCTGCACTCAGCAGGTTTTTGTTACCTTAATGCAGAGAATGCATACTGGTTAAAAAAAAAAAACTTCAGCCTTTAGAACCAATTTAAATCGAAAACAAAAATGTATTATATTCCAGCATAGCAGTTCTTAGATGTGATGGCTACATTAGTTTTTTTTGTCTTTTTTTCCATTTACGTCCACCTGGTGATCCAGTCAGTAAGGGTGTTGTTTCTATAACTTCCTTTAACAGACCAAGCAAGGGGGTTGAGATAATTCATTTAAGGCTGAAGATTAGGTATGGCAAATCTTATATAGTTGCATTGGTCCAATGCAACTGCAGTATAGTACATTGAACTAATGTAAGTGTGTACTTGCCAGGGGTGGACTGACCATTTGGAAACTCAGGCACTGCCCTAGGGCCCGGGGTCAGTAGGGGGCCCATGAGATGCCCCTGGTACCTTTTTCATAGGCTTTTTTGAGTTTGGGCAAGGACACAGGGGCTCTATGATCCCCTATTGCCCGGGGGCCCCATGAATTGTCAGTCTGCCCCTGGTACTTGCCATACCTTTTGGATCCCATGGAAGATGCAAATGACTGTAGTAGGCACTGTTACTACAGTAATCTCTTCTAGCTCTCAGGTTCTTTGCAGAGCTGCTGCCCTGCAGCATTTTGAACACAGGAGGTCGGCACGGGCTCTTGGTATGGGCACCATTCAAAGAACACTTTGCATTCTCTTAATAGGAGCAAACCGTTCTTTGATTGGATGACATGACAAGGCAGGGTGGTGATGTCGCAATCTCAGTCAGAGAACACTTTGCATTCCTTGGTGCCCATGCTGAGTGGGTGACCTTTTGTATTCAGTGAACATAAGTCCAGCAACTATGGTGATTTCCAGCTTACATTGGTTCAACGTGGATCAATGTAACTATGTAATGATAGTCATACTTGGAATTCATACGTGGAATTCACTGACAGGGGTGCTTGTATTGGACCACTTTTACTCATTTATATAAAACCTTTATGGCAAAGGAAAAAAATGGCTGTAAAACCAGCTGGAACCTGAGTTCGGATTTTGTTTGTCAATCAAGACTACCTAAATTTGCTAGAGCATCACAACACTACCCTCTCCCCAAATTGGAAATGATAGTGTCCGAAGATGTCTCTGTTGCCACTCCAGTGGGCTGTGTAAAGCAGTCCATACATTAACCTCCCTAGCGGTCTGATTATGTCCATATTTCTGTGCTCAAAGCGGTACATTTTTTTGCATGGAAATATGTCTTTTTTTTATTGTAGGCCTGTAATTTTTAGGAATAACTCACTGAAATCTGTCCGAACAGGAGTCTAGTAAACATCCCGGGTATGTTACAATTTGAAACACGAAATCATAAACTATAATTTAATAAATAATAATAATAATATAATAATAATAAATTTAATTCAATAATATAATGAAACCAAAAACACTGAAATTTGAAATATAGCGTCAAGTTCGCACATCACTGAGCAAAGTCGCAAAATCGTTTTCAGTGTCTGATGACGAATTTCCCCACGAATCATTATCACTCAATTCTGCAAGTAGTTCTGATTTACTATCGCTGTTCTCTAGCTGGTCTAAAACCGCTTTTGACCTAAAGGGACGCTTTTTGGACGCCATAGACGTTTCTCAGTTTCCAGGCAGAAAGAACAGTAAAAAATGCAGGCAGAGCAGTAGGGACGAAATGTATGTGAAATGCTTTGATACAGTAATGTTTTACTATGTGATTTTAGTGAATGTCACTTTTTGTCATTTTCAAATTTCCAGCCGTTCCGTGCCTATACATCCCGACGCTCGCAGGGGACGGAACCCAGATGACAGATGCCGGCATCCGCCGGAGGACATTACAGGGGACACTGCAGGAGGGACACTGCGGGAGCGCAGGACAAGGTAAGTTATCGAGGGATCGCGGAGCAGCGCCGCATGGTAAGCCCGAGTGTAGCTCGGGGATACCGCTTTTGGTACTGAAACTTTACCCCGAGCTACACTCGGGAATACCGCCATGGGGGTTAATCATTTTTTTATTTTTTTATTTCAATCAGCTGGTTGAAGGAAAAAAACTGACTGGATTCCCTCATCCACACATTCGAGGTAGATGGGGGAATCCTCTCTGCTAAACTATTGTATTCTGACAGCAGGGAGACTTCCTCGCCATCAGAATACACTAATTACCTTAGAATTCGACAGGGTGTTTGTACAGAAGTCGATCAGTAGATTGACTTCTGTAAAACCACCCTGCCTATACATGGATCGAAACTCTTCTAGGTGAAAAATAAAAAGCCTTTAAAAAAAAAAATAAATGTAGCCATCACATTATCACATTTAAGGATTGGAAAACTGCAATATATTACATTTTGGGATGGGGGGGGATTAATTTCATTTTCAGCTGTCCAGGGAAGTAGTGCAGAGTGCAGTAATGACAAAGAAAGGGCTATAATGAATAGTAAATCAGGTTTTACTTTACTGCAGTAACATAAGATACAGTAATAGATTAAATTGTTTTCAATTGATTGTTTCAGGATGAAAATTGTAAATGCCATTTGCACTAACTTGTTAAATAAATCTGAGCTAATGTGATAGGAAATGTTTGACATAACTAGTGCGTTGTGCATCCTAAACTAAATGTTCAGCTTGGTGACTAAAGGAAGAGTAACTCTTCTGATCCATCAATTAACTTCCCTGCACAGATTCACACAGGAAAGCCCAATTTTGAGTCCATTCAATGTTCATATTTTAACTGAAGCCCTGATGAAGGGGGTGTTTCTTTGGCCCCCAAATCATGTTGACTGAATTTTAGTACGAACTAATCAATGAATTTGGACTCTGTTATCCTTTGGTCTGGCACCCCCTTCTATTTGTGCATGTTGTTTACCAAAATAAATATGACTGCCCTTATGTACATGCATTATTAAAGTAAACTTGCACCTGTACCTTTCCCATAGTAGACCAAGTAACAGTTTTACTATGCCGGAGCCAAAGTAAACATTTAGTACTTGAATTCCCATTGCCAAGATCTCCCTACTGTCTCCCAAAACTCTGCTTGAGCCTTCAGACAAAGTTAAAATAGTTGTAAAGGCTGAAGGTTTTTTTACCTTCATGCATTTTATGAATGAAAGTAAAAAACCTTCTGTGTGCTGCTCCACCCACAGCCCCAACTAAAACTCACCTTAGCCCCCTCTTGATCCAGGGATGTGCATGGAAGCCTCAGCTATCGTGGGTCTCTCTTTCTGCTCATTAGCTGAGACAGCAGTGGGAGCTATTAGCTCTCACTGCTGTCAATCACAGCCAGTGAGCCAATGAGATGAGAGCGAGACTGAGCCACCACTATATGTCTTATGGACGCATAGAACTCGGGAGCAAGCACACACCAGTGCCCCAATAGCAAGCAACTTGCTGTTGGGAGCACTGGTCAAGGGGGGGAGGAGCGCCAGAGGGGGACCCACACAGAGCAGGTAAGTAGTATGATATTTTTTTTTTTTTTTTTTTAAACAAACCTTTAATATCACTTTAAGTGTTACATAGGAGTATGCAAGCTCCCTGTGTTCTCACATGGCAGTGTTCCGGCCTGGTGACTGGCCACTCAAGCACCATGAACTCTATTGTAGGCAGGCAGGAGGAGTATCAAGTGATCACACATACTGGAAGTCCAAGTATTTCTTTGACCTCCAGTGTGCTGACTGCTTACAGAGCATATTGTAAAGTGAACCCACCATTTTGCTTAGCAATGTAATAAGGAAGAATTGGGCCCTAGGCAAAGTAGCAGATGTGGTCCCCCATCCCTTCGGTTGACATAAATAAGGATTGCAATAGACACTGAAAAGCAACCACATTTACACCACATTTACACAGTTGTACTGGCAAGGTCCATCCCATCAGACCTCAACTGTCTACAAATACATCCTTCCTTTTGAGGTGACAAGCAGGTGCAAAATGTTGTCCAACTGCGCTATCCCACTGGTATACTGTAGGAGTTGAGCCCCTATAACACACTCAGGGCTTAGTATGCATTGTAAATGAGCTAACTTTGCCCATCATACAAAAAGTAAAGGTTCTCTTTAAAGACTATAAATAGAGGTTCTTTGTTAACATTATTTACATTAAGTTGACGGCATTCACATGTCTATCTAAAATTAATAAATAGAAAGAAGATAGATTACTTTTAAATTGCTTATCCCAGGAGGCCTGCAATTATTAAGCATTCTTTCAATCGGCCGTGATTACTTCTAATCTTCCAATCGCAATGACCATCGCTTTAGAAGAAAGGAACTGACCATAAACCATTTTGTTCCATGTTGTGACAAGGCTTTCTTAAATCACCTGTTTTATATTATATGATCTATCATTTACAGGACTATATATATGTATTATTAAATTCTATGCAGAATTGATTTTTGGATTAGATTTTTTTTTCTTTTTCAGTTATAATTAAATCCTCCTTAATCATCAAGGGCTGGCTGAAGCTGGCACTAGCTGCCTCCTGCTGAGCATCAGTAACTAAGTGTGAACGGGGTTAGTGAACCGTACTGAAGAAATTGTGTCGCTGTTTCATTTCTATTTCAATGAGATGGAATTTATAATACCCCTATTTGCATATTGATACAGTGATAACAATAACACTTCAATACTTTTTATAATATTTTTACTCCATCGCAAAAAGAAAACTGAAGTGTATTTTGGCATTACTGAATGCAGGAAGTTTTGCAAAGGATCTGGATCTAGTGGCAGGTTGTGTTGATAATTCAGCAAACATACTTATTATTATGATTCTCTGCTAAACTCCATATATATTATAATTAAGGCTGGAATATATGAAAAAGTTTAAATGTTAACTACTTTTGATTTAGTTATTCTTTAAATACTGCCTTTCCCCCAGCAACCCCTAAGTGTTATACTTGCCTGTCCACACTTCATGGCCTGCTGTAGACATCCCAGAAGTCTCTCAGATTGACTCTGTCCTTCCACACAAACACACCACAATTTCCATTTATTCTTATGGAGAAGATGTCTACTATGTCCTCAACAAGGGACAGCCTCTCCATTGGAAAGAATAGAGATGCTCCATCTGGAACAGTGGTCCCAGCAGGCCACATGGTTAAGAGCCTAAGATCTTGGAAGACTGGAGACAGGTAATATAACACTTTGCCTACATTGTCCGGCAGACATATGTCATTTAAAGATACATTGCATTTTATTTCTGCTGCACAATATTATGGTTCACCAGTAGATTGCAAAGGTGTAGAAATTTAGTAGCTATGGTTCCAGTTCTGATTAGATATAGTTTTAATATCTGCCGATACATTTCTTCTCTTTTCATAAAAGAGGCCTCAATATAAACAAAGGTGTCTGGTAAAAAAATACCCTTTAGTCCCCTTTCCCTAAAGGTAAAGGTTGACATCAAACCCCTTTTTTAGTTTTCTTCCACCCATACTCCCACTTCCAGGAACATTGGTGCCCAACGTCTCTGAGTCAGCTGTTGGAATGCCTTAATAAATAAATGACAGAACATCAGGCAATGACTGCTCCTTCTATCAATGCTTAGAATTGCAGCTAAGAATTTAGATGGCCTTGAATGAGTTAAGAATTATAAACAGTAAAATATGGTACTGGCATGGAGTCCCCAGAATTCTTCAGAAAAGTCATATTACCTTTTTTAATGGTATACAGCCATAAGGTACATCAGAGGTTAGTGGAGCACTAGAATTCTTAAAGTGGAATTCCAGTCAAATCCTAACTATACTTATACCTACTCCCACCGCCATTCTAAGCCTATTCTAACTACCCTGTAAAGGAAAGATGTCTGCACTTACCTATTCTGAGGTACTCCATTCTGGTCATATGATCTCTCCATTGGCTGGCTTTAGTGAAGAGGAGAGATTGTTGATAATGGCTGCAGAGCTTGAACGGTGATGTCACCCATAGGCTTACTATGGGGCATCCATTGTCAGCTGTTCCTTATCTACACTGGGGCTGGGAGCCAATTATTTTAACGAACTGGAGTGCCTTCAGGAAAAGGAAGGGTAGACTTCTTTCCTTTACAGGGCAGTTAGAATATTTAGCAGTGTGGCTATATTGTCCTTTCACTGTTCTTCTGGTCCTCTAAATCATAAAGTATTTTTAGAGTTAATTCACAGAGTGGACATGAATCATGTTTCTTTAAAATGAATATATAGTTAAAAAAAATTATGCTATTTTTCGGAATCCTGTTTCCTCCAACATTGGGTCTCACAGGCATATATTATGCCTCCACCTACTGGTGAAATTTCCACAGCAAAAATCACGATACCCTTTGTGAACTAATGTTAGTCCTACAAATGTTCTACATAAAATGGTCTAAACAGGGACACTTTAACTTTTTTTTGGATAGAGCAAGAAGGGTTAGAACCAAGGTCAGTTTTTAAATGCGGAGGAAAAAAGTGTACTCGGCCAACACCGTGTGTACACTGAACAATATAACCTTTGAAAACACAATAAAGCCATTTGTACAAGTTTATTTATGGTTTGACATATTTAAAGGTCAATAAAATATTGAAAAAGTCTCAGATGAAATTCTGTGCAAGGAAAATAATTTTTTAAAACAACTGACTGGTGTGCCCACATATGTATTGATCGGCAGTGTCAACGACCAGTGGCATAGTTATTCTAATTTTTCAAAAGCAAAATAAAAACAAAACAAATTGCGTACATCTCTGAAATAAATGCACATTTCCCCTTGTTTTATACTTTTAAATAAGTACCGAAAAATAACTGTTGATGTGCCAAAAAATACAGTATGCTCCTACCTTCTTCTTTGACATGACAACACAGTGTATTTTTGGCTCTTAAAGCGGTAGTCAAGTCTGTATTTAAACTTGTACCTACAGGCAAGCTTACAATCAAGCTTAACTGTAGGTAAAATGAATATCTCCTAAATGTGTACCATTTAGGAGCTATTCACATCAGCAATAGCCACACATACGCAGTGATGCTCTGCATTCAGGGCATACAGTATGCTATGTAATGTAGAGCTCTGTGC